TGTTAATCTGAGAAGGATGAGATCAACCACCGCATTTCCATCATCTCTCTTCATCGCACCCCAAACCCCATCCTTTCTTCCTCGCCGTGGCAGCAGCCTCTCCTTCTTCACATCTCCAGCTTCATTTGTATGTTATCAAAGATCCTCCAACTCCCGAATACTGCGTATCTCTGCTTCTCTGCTGCACAGAGACGCTGACATTGCTTGGTTCCCTCCCGAACCTAATTCTCTACCCGACGAATATGGGGGTTGGGCCGCTATTCAAGCTCCTCCAACTCCCAGAACAAGGAAAAAAGGTTCTTTCTTGAAGAATTCTTATTTGAATAAGCGTTGGGTCGAATTAGAAAAGCGTTTCTTTTTTTTGTTGTTCTGCAGGATTTTCTTCTATTTTAGTTGGGTGTGCTATTGGGTCTTCACTTGCTATTGCAATTTCCATTGCATACTTTTTGTTCTACAGAAAAGGTGGGTTCTTTCTTTGATCAAGACTTGCTTTTACTTGCAAGAATGAATACAATGGTTTGTTTGAACTCGTGCTTAGTGCATTTCAATTGAGATTTGCAGGGTTTAAGTTTGAACTCAGGTGTCCATTGAATACTTTTCACGGGGTGTTTAGCTGCAGGGAGGCGAAAAGTGGCCATACCGAAGCTAGGGACTATCTTGAATCTGATGAAGAGGCTGCTGAGGCAGTACCCGACTATGTACCTCTTGCTGTTACCGAAATTGTTCCTTCAGGTGCGGCAGTCAATTATATAGATCATTTCAGTTCTCTGGTTTTCTTTATGTTTCAACATTTTAGATAGCCTTCTGTTGGACGGATAGAACAAGATAAACTATTGCAACCGAAGCTTCTAACTTTAATGTGTTATTGAGACCATAGTTTCAAACAATAGAATAATTCTATTCTATTTGATTTATGAGCCAAACTCTGTAGAAAAATTGTTCTTCCTTGACACTTTCAGCTCCTAGTCATAATCGTGAGCGCATTGTAGTACGTGTTGCTGTTGATTCCACTCAGCAGGAAGCTTTGTCGGTTCTAAAGAAGCTGAAGGCTTGTTTCTTGAAACTTGTTTTATGTAAAATCATCTCTGGTCCTTTTCAAATGAACTGCATATGATTGTATTTTGTAATTAAGGCTTGCAGATCATTGAAGATGATGTAAGACCTGATGAATTATGCACGAGAAGGGAATATGCCAGATGGCTTGTTTGTACGAGTTCATTATTGGAAAGGTGATAGTTGTCCTGTACTTCTCTTTTGGGAATGGTTTGAAATTGAAAATAGGAAGCTATAAGAACATTCTTTTGCATGATCTGATCTGATTTGGAAACCTATTATCTTTTAGGAACCCTAGGCACAGGATTGTTCCATCCATTGCACTCTCTGGGTCAGAAACTGCAGCCTTTGATGATGTTAGTGCCGATGACCCAGATTTTGAGTCCATTCAAGGTAAAGCTCAATTTGACACTTCCATGTAAAAAAGAAAGAATATAGGGATGACAATTAAGAGTTGTTCTCCTTTGAACTTTGGATTTAGCTTTGGCAGAGGTAGGCATCATTCCCAGCAAGCTTTCAGGCAGGAACACTGCTTCTGAGGGTTCAAAAGGAGTCTTCTTCTTTCCTGACCGGTAAAGCTGCAGACATTCACAAATTCATCAATTATTGAAAAGTACTTTTTGACTCAGCGAAGTAACCTGTTCTTCTAGATTTATTTCTCGAGAGGATCTTATAAACTGGAAAGCCTTGGTAGAGTATGACTTTGAGCCAGGAGTAATGGAGCAGGTACAATAAATCCCCCTGACGACCATCTGTTAGAATTTCTTTTATGTGCTTCTGAACTGTTGACTGATGCTTCACCAGTCTTTTCATAGCTCTTAAAACCTAACTTGTGTACAGTCCAGATATCAAGGACAAAGGTAGATTTTATGGATTTGAAGGAGATCAGTCCAGATTTGTCACCTGGAATTTTGATAGACATGTTGGGTGGAGAAAAGAGCATACTCAGAAAAGTTTTTGGTACAATTCTTATCTTGATTTGTTACTCACATTCATACGCAATACCTTCGACTTGACTTTTCTTCTTCCTTTCAAGTAAGTATTTAATATGTAAATGGTAGGAATACTCTTGGGTGGTATCACTTTTCTAGATAGCACTGAAAACTGACTACCATGTCATGTACGAGAGGATATCATGAGTGGTTTTGCCAAGAAAGTGCGAAGAGCTAATGCTAAACTAAGGCAAAGATACGAATGGGCAGAGTTATTTTTTATGCTATTCTTCTGTCTAAGATGGCAAATCAAGCACCACATTCACTTACTGTGCTTCATACAAATCCATATTTAAATTTTGTAGGACAAAGCAAGCGTTTTCAACCGAATAAACCTTCATCAAAAGCACAAGCAGCAGTGGCTTTGACAAGTGGCAGGATGGCAGAAGCAATTTCCAATGAGTTGTTGAAGCTGGAAATGGAGAGTTCTTCAAAAGAGCTGAAATGAAAGAAATCAAGTCCGAGTTGCTTGAAAAGGGAGAAATACAGAGTTTTTGGAATGAAAAGCTGGATGAAGAAAGAGCCAGAGGTTCTGAGGTGGAGAAGCTTTACTTTTTGGCAGTTCAGGACCTGGAACAGGAGAAGATTGTTCAGGAGAAATATGCTGCTGAGTCTTTGAAGGAAAAGGCAGCAATGGACTGCCAGTGGCTACTGGTTTCTAGTCTGAAAGAAGAGGTTGCACAGATGTCAGGAAGGCTTGCATCTGAGAGGACTATGTATGTTACTGAGCGGAGTAAGTTGCAAGATATGCACAATGCTTTACAATCCAAATTAGAAGGAATACTTGATGCAAAATCCATTCTGGAAGCTGAGATAAAAGCTATCAAGATTCTCAAGTAAGTGCTGAATTTGCTTACCCCCTCCACACTTTTCCATGCGTTAATGCTTGTGTCACAAGCTGGTTTACTCGACTCAGTAGGCGTATCCTATAGTAATGTAAAATTATTACTTGGAAGAACTCCTTGGTTCCTGACCTATCTCACTACATTTTATTTTAGAATGTACTGATACATAGTTTTAATTAAGAAAAACAATGAATTCAATTGCAGATCCTGGGTAGAGGATGAAGCAAGAAAAAGCCAAGGCCGAGCTAAGGTCCTTGAGGAGGTGGGACGAAGATGGAAATGGGATGACCAAGCTTGATTGTCAAAAATAGATTCGGCACTGACTGGTTGAAAATGTTAGAACATAGGAAGACTAAATAAGAAATTCCATGGAGAGATGAAATGCAACATGAGAAAATCTTTATTGTTTCGGTGAGCAGTGTTCAATGTGTTGATATTTGGATTTTATCATCTTCTCATTTTTCATGTACTTCTTACCTTTTCATATTAGTTAACTGTTGAAGAACTAAATGGCATGGAAGAATTCGGGAATCAATCATGTGTGCATTCATACCGCATGCTGTCTTCTTTTCATTGATTCTCATCAAAAGAACATTTTTTATAATGTTACTTGCAAGAACGGATACAATTACATTGCGTAATCAGATCAATGAGTTAATACCCTCTGTTAACCGAATACAGATAAGTTCATACCCTACGAATACGTAAATATTGACAAAGAATAATACTTTCTCTCCAAGCTTAAGCTATTCTGTTCACTGCTTGTTTGTCAGTAACAGTAACAGTTTGGAACCGGGTATCTTATGTCTGATCTATATTTTAGTACCTGTTTTTTTTTGTCTTTACTGTTCAATGTTCTTCAACTACGAGTCTGCTGTAAGAAACTAAGAATCCTGGGTTTATTTATGTGCATATCAAAATACGCACTTTACTGAAAAGAAAAGAAAAATCAAAATCAAAATCAATCCCAAGGCCAAGAAAATTTCAATCCTCCAAAGTTGAGGGCCGTGAGGAGTCACAGGAGAGCTATGAACCACCTGCTGTTTTGGATAATATATTGTCTGCTATTCTGCCCACTTGATCCCGCTCGAATTTCACCATGAAAATGACTTCCTTCAGCGTTTTCTTCCCGAGAAATTGCGCATTGATTAGTTAACACCAAAAAATTCCTCGGCCAGAAAAAATAAAAGGAATCTTCTGGGTTATATTTATCCATTCCCGTAGATAAATTTGTCTGCTCTTTCATTTCCATCATCGCCATATTAACAGAACTCAATTTGCTTATTTTTCTTGTACCAGTCGAGCCAATTGCATAATGCAACTTTAATTTTCAATTCCGCGAATTTCACCAGAAACCCACTATTGGTTTTACAAAGTTTTGGAAAATATTAAGGATTTTTAGTCTGATACAGCTAAGACGTGCTATGATGCGTATTATCCATACGTAATTACAGCCGCAGATGATTTCATTTTTGTGGCTCAGAAAGAGACATGGATGTCTTTCATTTCATCAAATAAAACCTACCAATATCAAAATCTAAAGAAAAATCTAAAATGTCCAACAATGTCAATCCCCAAAAAGTTAGTTTTATATTGGTTTTTGCTTGGATGCATCATTCACCTGAGCATTCGCTTCGGTCCATTAAGCAAACGGCTGGGAATCAAGTTCCAGGCTTTACTATGGCTTGGGTCCAAAAAAGTCTCATGCTTTCCCTTTAATCTTCCAAAATCTTGATTATTAGAGATTTAATCGGACCCATAATTTAGTTGGGACAGAAACATTGAATTAAATAGACACGTACCCTTGCCTTAAACAAAAAATACGAGACTTTTTTAGCAAGCTTGCCTTTTTGTTCAAATTTACAGTTTCTGGTATCCTTTTCAGCTTTGGTTTCGGCCGTGTTTTTCACTGTACATCACTTTCCGTTAGGTTTTAGTCCTATCCTTTGAGTAAATTTTCATTCTTATCGGAAGCAAAACTGACCACTTGTTTTTGGTTGTTGCTGTAGCTATTAGCAAGACAGGTGTTTTGGATTCTACTTAGCAAGTGAATTTGTGTGTAACAGAAAAAGGTTTTTCATTGAATGGTCTACAAATCTGATAACATGATAATGCTACTGGTTTAGGAACGTTTCTATCCGGATTGGCTATTATAGTTCAACCATATTTTCAACTCTCAAGCTAGGTTCTCCTGCTTGAATTTGCAACAGGATAACATTTACAAGCTCTTGCATTTAAAGGGTCATAATGGTTTAAGATAATAATGATGGGAGATGAGGAGAAGTGGAGTAGGGATGTCTATTGGGTATCTTTTTCCTGTAGGTGAGTGGAGGAAGAGGGTTTTTATATACACAAATCCTAAATGCTAGTCAGAGTCCTTCTTGCCGCTTCAATTGCAGCTCTTGCAGTCAAGCGGCTTAATGCCAAAAACTCAAAGTCATCAAAATCTTCAGGTACCCAGCTTTTAAATTTCTTAATTTTTCAATTTTTAGAATCCCAGGGCATAGTTCGGTAAGGAAAAAAGGTGAAAGATTGCATGTTTCTTCATCGATTGATAGTTTCCAATTATGGAAATCTACTTCTTCATGGTTTACTTTAATTGTTAACCTATGGTTTTGTCATTCTTTTTTACTCATGTGGTATTTGGGCTTCATTATGTTTTGTTAACTTGTTCTCTGATGACACTGAAACTCAGAAAATGAGGACAACAAGAAGCAGTTTAGATATCACGATGATGGCTTCAAGGGAAAAGATGTAAGTATATATGTAACCTTCTTCGATCGAAATTATCGTCTAAGAAATATTGGCTGGTCCTTTATTAGTTATTTTCTACCAATGATTGATATGTGATGTATTTTACAGGGTGAGGAAGAAGAGGAGGAAGAAGTTAAATTGATTAGCAGCATATTTAATCGAGCTAACGATAACCGATCAGATATTGGTGATGAAGATTTTCTACCTGAGTTTGAAGATCTTCTCTCCGGGGAAATTGAATATCCATTACCTACTGACAAATATGACAGGGAAGAGAAAGAAAAAATGTATGAAACTGAGATGGCAAACAATGCGAGTGAACTGGAAAGGTTGCGCAATTTAGTAAAGGAACTGGAGGAGAGGGAAGTAAAGCTCGAGGGTGAATTGCTTGAGTACTATGGTTTAAAGGAGCAGGAATCAGATATTACTGAATTACAAAGGCAGCTGAAGATCAAGACAGTTGAAATCGACATGCTGAATATTACCATAAACTCTTTGCAGGCCGAGAGGAAGAAGCTTCAAGGGGAGATTGCTCGTGGAGCTTCTGTAAAGAAGGAGCTGGAGGTGGCAAGGAACAAAATCAAGGAGCTACAAAGGCAAATTCAGCTTGATGCTAACCAAACAAAAGCTCAGTTATTGTTTCTCAAGCAAGAAGTTTCTACTCTTCAATCCAAAGAGCAAGAAGCCATCAACAGTGACGCTGAGATTGAGAAGAAATTGAAAGCTTTGAAGGAGTTAGAAATTGAAGTTGTGGAGCTTAGGAGAAAGAATAAAGAGCTTCAGCATGAAAAGCGGGAGTTAACTGTTAAACTGGATGCCGCTGAAGCGAAAATAGCCTCCCTTTCCAACATGACAGAGGCAAGTCCCACGGAAATTTCCTATGTATTAGATTCTGAACTCATGTAAATGATTGGAAGCCTTTTAGTCTTAACTGTGTAAGGATTTTACCGAGTAAGACCAACATAAGAAAATTGCAAACTGCATGAAAACTTACATTGTTGCAGCTTAGGTTTGTTGAGATGATTATTAGCCGAATATTTATTGATGACATTTCCCTTTAAAATTCAGAAGCCTGAACATTTTACTATAGAAAAACGAAAAGAAAAGGTCAGCAAGCTAGCAACATGGTTTAGAAGATTTTCAGGGAATGCTATGATACAGATTTTGGAAAATTATTTCATAAGCTAAACAAATCAGTCCTAGGCTGTATGACCAGTAATAACATAAGTGTTCTAGTTTGTAGTTTGTTCTTATATGTGATTTTTTTCTTCTGTCTTATGTTATCACAGACTGAAATTACAGCCAGGGCAAGAGAAGAGGTCAATGCATTAAAACATGCAAATGAGGATCTGCTAAAGCAAGTAGAAGGACTTCAGATGAACAGATTTAGCGAAGTTGAAGAACTAGTGTACCTTCGTTGGGTCAATGCATGCTTGAGATACGAACTCCGTAATTACCAGACACCTGGAGGAAAAATATCTGCTCGTGATCTCAATAAAAGTCTAAGCCCCAAGTCCCAAGAGAAGGCTAAAAGGTTACTATTAGAATATGCAGGGTCAGAACGTGGGCAAGGCGACACAGATCTTGAAAGCAACTACTCTCATCCATCCTCTCCTGGAAGTGAGGATTTTGATAAAGCTTCCATCGACAGTTCTAACAGTAGATATAGCAATCTCAGTAGAGACCTGGCTTAATCCAAAAGCTGAAGAAATGGGGCAAGAGCAAAGATGATTCAAGTGCTTTTTCATCACCGGCCAGATCCTTCTCTGGTGGCTCTCCAAGCAGGACTAGCTTGAGCCTCCGCAATCGGGGTCCATTAGAATCACTTATGCTAAGGAATGCAGGTGATGGTGTTGCAATCACAACTTTTGGTAAAATGGACCAGGAATCCACTGATTCGCCGGATGCTTCTTCTCTTCCAAACATTAGAACACAACCTTCTGGTGACTCTTTGAATTCTGTTTCAACATCATTCCACTTAATGTCTAAATCTGTAGATGGAATTCTAGAGGAAAAATATCCTGCTTATAAGGACCGCCATAAGTTGGCCATGGAGAGGGAGAAACAAATTAAGAAAAAAGCAGAACAAGCTAGGGCTGAGAGGTTTGGCGAGAACTCAAACTTTGAGTCTAGAGCAAAGGCACCTGTAACTTTACCACCAAAACTTGCTCAAATAAAGGAGAAGACCGTTGTTTCTGGTGACACAAGCGAACAATCCAATGGCGACAAGACTGTAGACTCCCAAACTATAAGCAAGATGAAACTTGCTCACATTGAAAAGAGGGCACCTAGGGTGCCCAGACCACCACCAAAGCCATCCAGTGGCAGTTCTGCTGGCACAGATACTGCTACAACAGGACAACTTCCCGCTCCACCTCCACTACCCGGTGCACCACCACCACCACCGCCACCTCCTGGTGGACGACCACCACCTCCTCCTCCTCCAGGCAGCCTACCCAGAGGGGCAGGCAGTGGTGATAAAGTTCACCGAGCTCCTGAACTTGTTGAATTTTATCAGACATTGATGAACGAGAGTCAAAGAAGGAAACTTCAAGTTTGATTTCTACAACATCTAATACATCAGATGCTAGGAGCAACATGATCGGAGAGATTGAGAATAGATCATCATTCCTGTTAGCTGTATGTTAAAGTTTTCCTTTCCATCCATTTATCTGCTTACCTTCAGATCAAGTGTAGGTGTTTTTTAACCAATTTTAACATATGAGACCATATGGATTCATCCAGGTAAAAGCTGACGTGGAATCGCAAGGTGACTTTGTTCAGTCCTTGGCCACTGAAGTTCGAGCAGCTTCTTTCACCAACATAGAAGACCTGGTAGCTTTTGTAAATTGGCTAGATGAGGAACTTTCCTTCTTGGTATGGAATAAAATATTCAAGATTTAAAATATGCATTTCTGTTTCTAGTAGTGGTAATTTGAATTTGAAAGATTTCTTATTGCACAAAAAAGCACAGATTTTTGAGGTAATATGGCAGAAGATGCATCTTGGAACTAAACCATGGGTCTAAGACGCTATATTTTGCTCTCCATTGTCTGCTCTATTTTTTACCAGTCATTATGGAAGACTTAATATCGTTTCTTTGTGGCAAGATGTACTATAATACATGGAACCAGTTGTTCATGTTGTCCAACAGATTCACTAGAAATTGTATGTCTAGTGTCTACTATATTTGCTGAATTATCTTTCTGCGCTGTGTAGGTTGATGAACGTGCAGTTCTCAAGCACTTTGATTGGCCTGAAGGAAAGGCTGATGCATTAAGAGAGGCAGCTTTGAATACCAGGACCTAGTGAAGTTGGAGAAGCAGGTCTCTTCCTTTGTTGATGATCCCAACCTTCCATGTGAAGCTGCTCTGAAGAAGATGTACAAATTGCTTGAAAAGTAAGTCAATTCAGATTCATTTGGTTTAATTTCTGAACTTGGAAGCAATACTCTCCTTAAAGTAATAAAATCTAAATAGGACTATTCTTCTAGTTTTCCTTAAGGGTCATGTCAGTATAAATTATCAATCTTGTAGAATGGTAGAGATGCAGTCTCTCTTGTCATATTCTGATTTGCTATTTCATTTTGTTGTTGTTGTTGTTGTTCAGAATGGAACAAAGTGTATATGCACTTTTACGTACAAGAGACATGGCTGTTGCACGATACAAGGAGTTTGGAATTCCAGTTAATTGGTTATTAGATTCTGGGATTGTTGGCAAGGTATGAACCATAACAATAAATTAAAAGGTTTGGTTTCGTTATACATGGAACACAGCTCAGTAAGTGGCTCATTGTTATGATGAATCTATGATGTAACTGCTAGTACGGATGAAACTACCACAACAAATGGAAAATTAGTAGTATATCTTTCGCCTGCTATAAAATGTGATCATAAATCTATGTTTTTCTTCTGCATAATGCAGATCAAACTTTCATCTGTTCAATTGGCAAGGAAATATATGAAACGCGTAGCATCAGAACTTGATGCATTGACTGGACCGGAAAAAGAACCCAACCGAGAGTTTATACTTCTGCAAGGGGTCCGTTTTGCTTTCCGTGTTCATCAGGTATTTAGCTTTGTACTTGGTTCCCTTGTTCAAGATGTCTAGTTTAAGATCTTTACTACGCAAATTCTGATTGTGTTGTAATCTGACGAATTACTTGTATTGCTTCAAGTAATACTGTTTGAACTGTTAATGAGTGACTAGATTTCTTTTCTCTGCCAGTTCGCGGGTGGTTTTGATGCGGAAAGCATGAAGGCTTTCGAAGAACTTAGGAGCCGCGTGCATACACAAATGGGAGAAGAAAATAAGACAGAAATGGAAGAAGGAAATAAGCCGGAGGCAGGATGAACATTTACTATTTTTGGCCTTGTTATTTTCGTTGTTGCTCCACTGCTCTGTTGTATATTGTTTCTGTATTACCACTCGACAATATTGCATTAGAAATTACTCAATATAGTTGGATATTGTACAATGAAGCTGCCAGAGATACAGATGAAGGAAAATTAATATTACAACATATGCTATGTTTGGACATTCCCACCATCCGTTTGCTTATTCTCATTCCTTCTAGTTCTCCGTTGAGGCAACATCCAGGGGCCAAAGGACGACATCGGATTAGCGACGCTAGAATCCAAACCGCCACCCTCAGTTCCATTGTCCTTGGAAACAGTCTCATAATTATCAGGAGTCTTCTGCCTCGTCAGACATAAATCAACTTTGTGTCCATAAACGCCACACTCGAAGTAGATTTCATCAAGTCCTCATACTCGACCATTTGCCACAAGGGTCCTAACACAACCCCTCCATGCAAAGGCTTACTATGATCTACCTCCACACATGTCCTGGCATACTTTCCCGTGAGGATTCAACGGTTGGACGACCAACCTTCACCTTTCGACGCAGGAGGTAGCCAACTGCTTCAAGTTTCTGCTTGTTAGAGTTCCATAGGTAATCCCGGAAGATGAATCCAAACATCCGCCTTAACAATCACTTCCTCATACAAGCGGAACGACTTCCATGATTCCAACAGGTCCCCTCAAGAGTTGACGGAACGAAACTCGTATTTAGAACTGCATCTCTAAAATTTTGTCCCCCAGCAACAGAAGGCTGTTGATTTTCCTTGAAAAGTTGGTTCTCTGACATCACAGTTGACTGCCCATGATAGTATAAAAATGATATGATTGGAAAGATATTGATCATTCGAGGAAATAATTAAAATATTTAAAATATAAGGACTAATTTAAAGTGTTATTTATAGTTTGAGGAATTCTCATGAAATTAGTCCAAAATGAAATAAGAAAATAAAGCAATAGATATCGGTAAAGAGCCGATAATCAGGTTTGGCAAAATCACAATTTACGCTATCCAACTCAGAAAAGTCGTCATCTTCGTCGTCGTCGTCAGAAGAAGAAGAAGAAGAAAAAAAGAAGATAAGAAATTATGGTAAGCGAATCATTGCGCTCTAACTTTCAATTAGATTAAATAAATAAAATTATGCTTTGTTTATCCCCGACAATTAGGGTTTTGTGTTATTGGATGGTTTTTTTTTTTGTAGATCTTACAATTCCTAGATAGTGATATTGGTTTAGTTATGTCGTTATGATTATTTTTTATTTCATTCATTAATCATTACCCCTTCCAATTTCTGATTTTATATTGCAGAATTGATCCGGTTATGTTGATTTCATGATTTTAACGTGGTTTAATTTCATATATCTGAATAGAATTTACACAGTTCCTCAAAAAAATTTATCTTTTAGAGATATGTGTCTAGGGATATATATTTTAGGCGGATTACTAATATAAGTAATTAAAAATGGTTAACCCACTTGCTCTGTGCTTCTGCAGTCTTCACTTGCAGCTGCTAGAGCTGATAACTTTTACTATCCTCCAGAATGGGATCCAAGTTAGGTATGCATAGTTTAGAATTGTTTGCTTTCTGCAAATTTTTTGGTGAGTTTAAAGGAAATCTTCTGCCAAAGTTATGATTTATGGCAGTTCTGTCTTCTTTTTAGGGTTCTTTGAACAAGTTTCACGGTCAACATGCTTTGAGAGAGGGCGAGGAAAATAGATCAAGGCATTTTGATTATAAGATAAGATCACATTATTTTCGGAATTTTATACTATCACTTTCGTGAGTTCGTCGCAAATTCTGGCATCTTCAGAATAGTTATACTAATGGGCTTCAATGCGGTTAATGATGAAATGATAGGCTGCGAGAACCGCATAACTTAGATTTTTTCATAGGAATTCTTCACCGAATTCTGATAAGATTGGTTGGCAACCAGGCATTGGCTTGCCATTTTTCTTGACCCAAAATTTAATTATTTGCGTTACTTAAGAAAGAAATCTTGTTCCATATTCGTTTTCTTTTCTTTTTTTTTCTTTTTGCAAAAAGAAAAAAAAGTTCCATATACCTCTTAGACTTTTAGCAAAGATGATCTAAGCGAGGTGTGACTTTATAGATATATTTTCATGTTCTATGGTTGTAGCATGGAATTTGTATCTAGGAGACAATCTATTACCCTTATAACTTTACAAGTGACAGCAAACTTGGTTTGGTTTCCATTATCCCTGCCAAGTTTACTTTTGGTGTGGTCAGTTTCTTTCTAAATGGTATATGATTTTCATTCTTGTTTTTCTTTGAGGTTTGAAATGCTTTTCAATATATGGTGTGGTGGATGCAATTCTATGATTGCAAAAGGTGTACGGTTCAATGCTGAGAACAAGCAAGTCGGAAATTATTATTCTACTAAGGTATCTTGTTTTTACCAATTTTGTAAGCTACTCCATGATTTCCTGTGATTTGGTTTATGTTGATGGGGGATATATTCTGTTAAATAATTTTTGGTCATCGCTGATTTGGTATTCCTAACAATTACTTGTTTCTTTTAGATATGGAGCTTTAACAGGAAGTCTGGATGCTGCAAACATGAGATAGTCATTCAGACGGACCCAAAAAATTGCGAGTATGTGATCATTTGCGGGGCTCAGCGGAAAACTGAAATGTTTGATGTTGAGGATACTGAGACATTAGAACTCCCAGCTGATGAAGGTGTGTAGTAAGTTACATGGGTTCATTGATTCTTATAGGATAACTACTTTTAACTATAGGTTGCCGTTGCTTGAAAACATTGTATTCTGGAACAATTTGCCCCAATGGCAATGAACTAACTTCTTTGGATATTGGAATAAAATTCAATTATCAAAATAAATAAATAACTTGGCATACTGTGAATCTCTGTAACTTCCTAACAAAAGCATGGGTTGACTGACAGCCATGGGTCTTAATGAGGGTTAAACCTATAGGCCTGTACATCTTGCTTCTGGGAATCAAGTTTGTGTGTGTGCGTGCACGTGTGTGTTGGTTTTTACAGTTAACTTTGTTCTGCAGAAAGAGGCAAGCTTGCAGATCCATTTTATCGTCTTGCACATCAGGAGGAGGATTTGAAGAAGAAGAAAGAAGCTGAGCTAGTACTTGTTCGCCTTCAGCGTGTATCTGATGCCAGGCATTCGGATGACTATGCCCTCAACAAAGCTCTACGTGCCAAACCTATGTTTCTAAGCTTAAATTGGTTTGTCAGTTACATTATTGTTATGAACTTGCTCCCTAATTTTACTTTCTGTTCTCAGAGTCAAACGAAGAGGGTTCTTGAAGAAGAATCTGCATCAAGGAAATTGGGCCTAAGCATTCGACTCCTTCCAGCAAGCGAAGAAGATGGCGTTACTGCTTCAGGAGTCAAATTTTCTTCCAAGTTTGAGAGAAACAGGAAAGATAAGAGAGCATTGATTAAAGCTGCTTCAATCTTCCCCAGATCATCTGGGTTGTCCTCGTCCAATAAGAAGAGGTTGGAGCTGGAGTCCAAGAGAAGAAAAATCTGTGCAGCTGCAGCTTCTAACTTGCTGACAGGGGGATTCAAGCCATCATCATGATCACAAGATGCTGTGTAGAGGAGTGCTTCCTCCAATGCTCGGAAATTTTAGCTCTAGTTTTCATAATGCCTGCTTCAATTCACATATAATATTAGCTATGGATTCCAATCTCCGGTGTTTCTTGTGCAAGATTGTGGTGGATCACGTATGTAAAGCATACAGCTACTGCTAGTTAACTATGCTCTTTGGTCAATAACAAATCAGTTAAATCTCTTATAGGAACTGTGTGTAACTTTATCATGTTGAGAAATTGAAATGTATTGGATATTTTTTGCTCCCATTTATACGTGTATCGTTTGAGTTTATATAAACATCATACCAATTAATTCACTGGTTAACACTCCTTGAACCTGTTGTTTACTCTTTATCTCTGGCAATCGACCAGCAGACCGAATTTCGCTAGCTTAGATTGTTGTAATGTACTCATCTGATTCTCATCTGAAAATGGCAACTTGTGGCTATAATTAATCTCCCCCACAGCGCATGACACTGTATGGATAAAATGCAGGAACAGATTAATAATGCACGCCAGTGAAAGTGGATGGATTATAGGGTAATCCCAAAGAGGAGAAAGTACATATGATGGGGATGGGTAGTGAAAAATGGATTATATGGTAATCCCAAAGAAGAAAAAGATGAATATTGCAGTCGCAGTAGTGCTGCTGCTGATGATCAGTAGTACAGCAGCAGAGATTGGTCATCAAGAGGCTTAAATTTCGGCTCAGAACACACCTTAATTATTACTATAAATAAATACAATATATATATGCCACTCTCAACTGTACTTGAAAAAGTATCTGCAACACTATAAGTTGTAAGATCTTCATGTCTCACCAGTCTTCGTTATGTTCTGTTTCATTGTTTTTATAGCCTTCCACTTTCCAGATTCACATTTTTCTTTCTGCAGGATCAAGTGGATTCATTTGATGATGAGCATTGAGCTTTGAGAAACTAGTTATATATATATTCTGTACTTGGCTTTAATTTGTAGGCCATGTTTTATGTTCATCTTTTTTGCAGTCTGTAACACCTAACACTGCCATAAGATCTCCCAAAACTGACTCAAAAAGCTACCAAATCCAAGGTAACTAACCCCTTATAAAATAATACTACAAATACATATGCATTAAACATAGTAAAATTTTCCACTACCACTTTTCCGGGTTTGTCGCTACAATAGCTGGGCCTCTTTTCACTGTTAGTATTTATTTCCTTTGTATGGTCTCTTTCGTTGGCTTTTCTTTTCTTTGAGCTCATCGTTTTTTTTGGCAAATTAAGAGTAGTTTACTTTGGCTACTGTCGGGGTGTCGGTTAGTGAACTTAATCTTATAAACTGAAATGAATATTGCCTTGTCTTGTAATTAATCTTTATTCCTTTTCTGGTATTGTAGGGCTGAGAGGCTGCTGCCAGTGCCACAATCTGCACTTGCTTTTCATGTTTCGTCTCCTTTGATATTGGAGCGATCGAGAAACGAGATAGTGTAGAGGCGCATCATTGCAGAAACCAAGCATTTTCAGGTCAGTTTATTTTCTTTGATTGTTCTCGAGCACGCATTCACACGTAAGATAGATCCAACACCCAGAAGAGAAATAAAAAACGGTGTAATAAAGTGATGTTGGAAATAAAACACTCACACAAACAACTTTTATTGAAACTCAAACAAATATTACAAGAGTACTCTCACTCAAAAACAAGAACTACAACTCACTCTTATAAGACTTTGCTTCTTCACTCACTTAGAAGCTCTTAATTTTTCTTGATGCTTAAAACTAAAATGGGAAGGGGTATTTATACTACTCAAGAACAATCCTACACCACACAAATAAACTAATTTAAACCATTACAAATTCAACAAATATCTAACTCTCACCTAACTAAATTGATGTAAGCAATGATATCATTAATTAAATGATGTAAGCAATGACATCTTTAATTAAATGATGTAAGTAATGACATCAATTTAGTTTGGGTTTGGGTTTAGGCTCCCATAATGGATCAAGTTTATGATCCAACACCCTCCCTTAAACTTGATCTCGTGACCCCTAGTAGGTTCCTTAATCTTAAGAAGTCTTCGCTGGTCAGTGGTTTGGTAAAAATATCAGTAACTTGATCTTGTGACTTCACATATTCAACTTCCACATCTTTCTTGCAACACACTCCCTTATAGTGGTAGCGAATATCAATGTGCTTGCTTCGATCATGGAATACTGGATTCTTCGCTAAGGCAATGGCTGACTTGTTGTCGACACAAACCTTGGTAGGCTCTTCTTGTATCAAACCAATCTCCTTCAATAGATTTCTAAGCCAAATTGTATGACAAACAAATGAGGTAGCAGCAACATATTCCGCTTCACAAGTGGACAATGTGACAATCGGTTGTTTCTTTGACATCCATGTGAATGCAATATCTCCCATGAAAAATACGAATCCAGTAGTGCTCCTTCGATTATCTATGTCTCCACCCCAATCACTGTCGCTATATCCAACAAGCTTGTAATCATTAGAAACTGAATAGAAGAAGCCAAAGTCAATTGTACCTTTCAGATAGCGAAGAATTCTCTTTGCAGCTTTAAAATGGGTGGTTGTTGGGGATTCCATGTAGCGACTAACCAATCCAACTGCGTGAAGAATATCGGGTCTCGTGCAAGTTAGATAGCGTAGACTTCCTACCAAACTTTTGAAGAATGTTGGATCTACACTTTCGCCTTCTTCATGTTTGGTCATCTTGATCCCGTATTCTGCCGGTGTGCTTATTGGCTTACAGTTCTCCATCTTGAACTTCTTCAGTATCTCCTTTGCATAGCTTTCCTGTGAAATGAAAATTCCATCATTTTGTTGCTTAACTTCAATGCCAAGGTAGTACGCCATGAGCCCCATGTCTGTCATCTCGAATTCTTTCATCATCACATCCTTGAATTCATTAAACATGCTTGGGTTGCTTCCAGTGAAGATCAAATCGTCCACGTAGAGGCACACGATCAAAATATCTTCATCTTTGATCTTGATATATAGAGCATGCTCGTAGGGACATTTGTTGAAACCATTCTCTTGGAAGTACTTGTCGATTCGGCTATTCCATGCCCTTGGTGCTTGTTTTAGCCCGTAAAGAGCCTTCTTCAACTTCAACACCTTGTCTTCATGCCCTTTGACTTCATAGCCTGATGGTTGCTGAATGTAAAGTTCCTCTTCAAGAACTCCATTTAGGAAGGCGGACTTTACATCCATCTGTTGTATCTTCCACTTGTTTTGAGCTGCCAAAGAAATGATTAGTCTGATAGTCTCCAATCGAGCAACAGGAGCAAATACCTCATAATAGTCAATTTCAGCCTTTTGACTATAGCCTTTAGCAACTAGCCTCACCTTGTGCCTTTCAATCTCTCCTTTGGCATTTTGCTTTGTTTTGTACACCCATTTGACACCTATCGCCTTATGTCCCTTGGGAAGTGAGGTAAGTTCCCATGTGTCATTCTTCTCGATGGCCTTGATTTCTTCGTCCATCGCATCTCTCCATTTCTTTTCTTGTACCGCTTCTTGAAAGCTCACTGGTTCACAATCGGCAAACAAACAAAATAATGTAAGATTATCTTGTCGTTCAGTTACCTCATAGAGATCTCTAAGGCTTCTTGTACGTTGCACAACTCTTTCACTTTGACTCCCACTTGACGATGATGAAGGTGATGAGTCTCCTTGAGTGGTTGATGTTGGTGAAGTGGGTGGAGTTGCAAGCTCTTGTTGAGATTCATCTAGTTGCTCCCTCATTGTCTGCTCATCTTCTTCAAACTGAGGAAAGAAATTAAAGTCATCTGTATGAGATTTAAAATCCCATTCTCCTTCTTTGTTGAAGACCACATCTCGACTAATCACAAACTTCTTATTGTCTGGATTGTACAACTTGTAGCCCTTCGAATTAGTATCATAGCCGATGAAGATAAAACTCTCGCTTTTATCATCAAGCTTCGTTCTTCTCTCGTCTGGTACGTGAACATGGGCTATACTTCCAAAGGTTCTCAAGTGGGAAATGCCAGCTTTCTTCCACTCCATGCCTCTTGCGGTGTCTTTCCCCATACACTTCTTGTTGGAGATCGATTTGACAAGTAGACTGCACACGATACTGCTTCCGCCCAAAATTCTTTGGGTAGTTTCTTGCTTTTGAGCATGCTTCGTGCCATGTCGAGGATTGTTCTATTCTTTCTTTCTGCCACACCATTTTGCTGGGGGGATCTAGGAACTGTCATTGGTCGACGAATTCCATTTGCTTCACAGAACTCTTGAAACTCCCTGGAAGTAAATTCTTCACCTCGATCGGATCTCATGGCTTTGATCTTTCTAACCGCTTTCTCTCTCCACTGCTGCTTTGAACTTCTTGAAGACTTCAAAAACTTCTGACTTCTGTTTCAAGAAATATACCCAGGTTTTTCTTGAAAATCATCAATGAAGAGAAGAAAATAGTTATTGTTACCGAGAGAGCTTGGCTTGATCGGTCCACACACATCGGTATGGATGAGCTCAAGTGGCTTCTTAGCTCTTGTCTCTGACTCCTTTGGAAAGCTTTTCTTGAATTGTTTCCCGACTAGACACCCTTCACAGAGCTGGTCAGGATGGTTGATGTGAGGTAGTCCTTTCACCATCTCCTTCTTAGATAATAGCTCTAGACCTCCAAAATTGAGATGCCCAATCGAAGATGCCAAAGCCATGATGCATCTTTGTAGCAAGCTTTCAGGCACTTTGCAACATCATTTGTATGTGATCAAGAACATTCTATTCTTTGACATCGGCACTTTAGCAATGAAGTTATTCTTATCATCTTTTATAGAAAGATTATAATTATTTATATGATATATAACCTTTTTCTACCAGTTGCCCTAAACTTAAAATGTTACTTTTCATATTGGGCACATAGTAGACATTTGAAATAAATTGATGTCTCCCATCTTTCAAACGGATAAGAATGTTACCTCTCCCTTCACTGCTATTGTGGAATCATCTCCAAACGAAACAT